TACTTGATTTATATTAAAGTGTGAAAAATCACATATAAATACTTTCAGTGATAAAACAGCTGATCTGTAAAGATAGATATAGACATGCACAATTTTTGCGTTGATACCTCAAATGCAGTTATCAAACACTTGAAGATGATCACTCTGGAAAGAAACTGTGCATGTGCCTGTGTCATAACTTGACACTCTGGAGCGTGATGATACTTGTTGTGATCTGCTGGTGAAAGTGAACGGCTCATGTAATACAATGAAACTCAAATGAAATGCTATTTGACTGGTGGAGAAATGTAGTATTATTGGCGCAGAGCTGCGATATAATTAGCCGATACCAATATTCACTTGATACACTGTTATCAGCCGATATTATCGGTGAGCCGATAAATTGGTCAGGCTCTAGTTTTTTTATTATTTTATGCCATTTCATTAATAAACCTTGATCGGTTTCATGCAAAGTCCTCTTGCCAGAGACAACAACAAAGTGTTCTTTACTAAAACATCAGTGCAGTATTTGTAAACACCTGATTGAAATCAGAGGGCGTAACGAGACAGAGAAACAGTCAGAGTGTTTTCATATTCAGTTTAATGTTGTGAAAATATGAGCGTGCATCTGTTTAATGGTTGTAGTGGGATGGAGTGTGTGTGTGTACACTGTGCAGTCAGGCTCCAGTGAACACTTATTGAGCCTCTTATAGGAAATTAAGCGGTTAATTTCAGGTCACAAGAGCCCGGCTGTACGTGTGGTAACACGTTAAGTCTCACTTAAATGGGCTGTTGTGTTAACTTCAGCTTTTTGTGGTGTGTGTGTGTGTGTGTGTGTGTGTGTGTGTGTGTGTGTGTGTGTGTGTGTGTGTGTGTGGTGTGTGTGTGTGTGTGTGTGTGTGTGTGTGTGTGTGTGTGTGTGTGTGTGTGTGTGTGTGTGTGTGTGTGTGTGTGTGTGTGTGTGTGTGTGTGTGTGTGTGTGTGTGTGTGTGTGTGTGTGTGTGTGTGTGTGTGTGTGTGTGTGTGTGTGTGTGTGTGTGTGTGTGTGTGTGTGTGTGTGTGTGTGTGTGTGTGTGTGTGTGTGTGTGTGTGTGTGTGTGTGTGTGTGTGCGATAACTATTTTGTGGTTAAGAAGTGAAATGTCTAAAACCAGTCCTGCCTGTTCGTCTTTCAGGGATTCGCTGACAGAAGTATTCATAGAGTTCACTGACGATGCTTTAACACTGAAAACGTAAACCTTAGAAATAACTAACACCCTGCTGCAACATAGAGTTCAACTTCAGCGTCTGTACAGGGTGACAACAGTCTTCTTAGTGATGAAGAAAAAATCCATGAAGAACATGTAATCTTTTTGTTCTTCTTGTTAGCGCATGAGGGGAGCTCTGCTTACATCATGGAAAATCTAAATTTAGACATTTGGATGAAACGCTCCATCTGCAGTGTCTCTAATTAACTGAGGTCTTAAGGCAGAACATTTCTCATTTCTTTTATAATACGCTTCAATCTATGGTGCAGGATTCAGTTTAAGAACGCTTTTTATACATGCAGATGATCTCATCATTCAGTGTTCATCAAGGAAACACTTTGTTTGTTTGTGTAGCTTACTTGAACTGTATATTTCCTGGAGGCTCGTCTGAACGTGGAAAAACACCTTTTTGTCTTTGAATTGTAAGAGTTATATTTTACACTCTCCCACTGCATGCACTACTCTACAACACATACTGGCAGTTTGAAAGAAGAGCTGTGATGGATTTATTAAAGTCTAATGTTGGCAGTAGACACAGCACCAGATTTTGACTTGGGAAGTGTTCTGGTATCTGTACTGAATGTAGGAAAACAGTTCAATAGAAAGTAAAGAAAGTGGCAGAAGCAATCCGTGTTCATCCTGGAACCCATTGGTGGTCATCAAACCAATTAGCTTTAAGAAATGTCTTTTAACATCGGCATGCAAGTGCAGTTTAAAATCGGCTGTTGGGAGTTCATTCTTAGACTCATTCTTGCATTTCAGCTTGAATGAGTCAGAGTGTAAACAAAGAGCAACGCACGGAAAAAGAAGTCTTAGCTAGAAGTCCAAATGCTAACGCCCTGACTTCAGCGGAAGGACGAAAAGCCTTTATCCATCTTCAGATGATTCCCAACTGGTTCTGAGATTAGGTGACCAGCTAACCAGCCCTTCCTTTAAGTAACACTTTGAGACTTTCAGAGCAGATTTTTCAGACCAAAACAAACTCTCTATTTGAACACACCTCCTTCATCCCTCAGCTTCCACTTGATTCCTGCATCCTGATTCACCTGCAAGAAAGTGATAATAAACATCGAGAACGAGATTCTGCGACTTGAAGATTTCAAGTGACGATATGTATCTCAAAGTTGATTCAGTTGTTTTCTGATGATCTTTTTTTAGACCAAAGAAAATCGTTTTGTTTCCACTTTGGAAAGTCTGTTGGTTCCCCCTCAGTTTTACTCGTGGGACAACAGCCGGTCATTTTGCCTCTGGAAACAGCGTCCCTGAGTGGGCGGGGCTGTGGCTCTTCCCCCGTGTGGTGGCAGGTTGGGGAGGGTGGGCTCACGTGAACCGTTAACAAGCTGAAGGACCCACCAGTGTGAACACAGAGCTGAGAACATCAAGCCAGAAGAGTTAGACTTCACTCTCTTTTTAGGAAACCATTACCCACAATGTATTTACAGAGAGACGGTACATTTGATTTTTCTTCATTTAAAAAAAAAAAACATAATATATGACACTCAAATTTCATGAATCTTTTTAGACACAGAGTAAATAATTTAGACTTTTGTGGGCATTAAAAAAAAACTATAAGAAGAAGAATGGTGAGAAAACCTCGGTGGTAGCACAAACTGGTGTCCTGAATGTGCATCATTCACTCCCATAATGCAACAGCAGAGTTGAAATACACACAGGTTGAACAGATGGAGCTTATTAATAACAGCAGTGGGGAGTGGGGAGGAACAGGTTTTTCCAGGTTGGTGGGCTTCTATAGGAGGGAGATTCACCCGGGGGTGGGGGGGGGGGAATCAAACATGAAGATTAACACACAAAAAAGAAAAGATTGATTTTATACAAGCGGGTGTTGAAATGAATTGTTTGTACGATGAATGGACATGGATGATTTCTGCATCGATTTATGTTGACAGTGATTTGTTAATAATAATAAGAACGGGTCTCTGCAGTAACATGAATGTGAGGATGCAACCCGTTGTGATGCATCGTAATGTAGAATCACATCGTTGATAAAATAATCATGATGAGATGCTGCTCTGTTTTATACTCATGAGTCAAATGTTAGTGAAGTGGACGACTCGTCTTTAGTGAGAAAGGATGCAAATTAATCGTTTCTGTTTTTGTCTCCCCCCCTCCCCTCTCTCTCTCTCTCTCTCTCTCTCTGTCTGTCTGCAGCTGGCCCTGTCTTCATCAAGTGAGTATATTTCTCTTTAGTAATGTCGTCCTCTGCTTTGTAACACTCGTTGGCCACCACAGGTGTTTTCACTCTGCAGACTCAAACAAACTGTATTTAGTCACTTTGCTTTTACACAAGTTCTTAGTACACAGAGGTTAAGATAAAGAGGAGGGGGGGGGGGGTGAGTTCTGATATATTCTGTTTCCAAATGATCCAAACTGAAACAGATTTAGTCTGTCGGTCTGAACGAGGCTCTACACTTAAGTTAATCAGCGTGAGGTTGTGATGTCATCCAGCGTGTAAACTACACCTGTAAGTCGACTTCAAGCAGCTTAAACAGGCTGATGCTCCTAAAGCCTGTGTTTACTGCAGCTTCTCTTTACTACTCTCTCTCCACCACTCACACATGTAGAGCTGCACACTGATCACATATCAGTGTTAGACATGCTACTAGACACATGTTGTAACCACGAGAGAGAGAGAGAGAGGGAGAGAGAGAGAGAGAGAGAGAGGGAGTCTGAGTTTTGGTTTGCTCCGAGAACAAAATGTAGAAATGTGTTTGATCTGAAATGGTTTTTCATCGTGTCAGTGGTTGGAGACGCGGCCCAGCAGGCAGCAGTGTCCCGTCTGTAAAGCGGGCATCAGCAGAGAGAAAGTCATCCCACTGTACGGCCGAGGGAGCTCCAGCCAAGAGGACCCCAGGTACCCCAGAGGAGTCCTGACACCGACTTCCATTTAATATGATTCTTTTTTTTTTTTTTTTTTTTGTCGCCTCATTTGGCTGACTGGTCTGTGTTGTTGACTGACTGATCTGTGTTGTTGACTGACTGGTCTGTGTTGTTGACTGACTGATCTGTGTTGTTGACTGATCTGTGTTGTTGACTGGTCTGTGTTGTTGACTGGTCTGTGTTGTTGACTGACTGATCTGTGTTGTTGACTGGTCTGTGTTGTTGACTGATCTGTCTTGTTGACTGGTCTGTGTTGTTGACTGGTCTGTGTTGTTGACTGGTCTGTGTTGTTGGCTGATCTGTGTTGTTGACTGATCTGTGTTGTTGACTGATCTGTGTTGTTGACTGATCTGTGTTGACTGACTGGTCTGTGTTGTTGACTGGTCTGTGTTGTTGACTGATCTGTGTTGTTGACTGATCTGTGTTGTTGACTGATCTGTGTTGTTGGCTGATCTGTGTTGTTGACTGGTCTGTGTTGTTGACTGATCTGTGTTGACTGACTGATCTGTGTTGTTGGCTGATCTGTGTTGTTGACTGATCTGTGTTGTTGACTGATCTGTGTTGACTGACTGATCTGTGTTGTTGACTGATCTGTGTTGCGTTGTTGACTGGTCTGTGTTGTTGGCTGATCTGTGTTGTTGACTGATCTGTGTTGTTGACTGATCTGTGTTGTTGGCTGATCTGTGTTGTTGACTGATCTGTGTTGTTGACTGATCTGTGTTGTTGGCTGATCTGTGTTGTTGACTGACTGGTCTGTGTTGTTGACTGGTCTGTGTTGTTGGCTGATCTGTGTTGTTGGCTGATCTGTGTTGTTGATTGATCTGTGTTGTTGATTGATCTGTGTTGTTGGCTGATCTGTGTTGTTGATTGATCTGTGTTGTTGATTGATCTGTGTTGTTGGCTGATCTGTGTTGTTGACTGACTGGTCTGTGTTGTTGACTGGTCTGTGTTGTTGACTGACTGGTCTGTGTTGTTGACTGGTCTGTGTTGTTGGCTGATCTGTGTTGTTGATTGATCTGTGTTGTTGGCTGATCTGTGTTGGCTGATCTGTGTTGTTGATTGATCTGTGTTGTTGATTGATCTGTGTTGTTGGCTGATCTGTGTTGTTGACTGACTGGTCTGTGTTGTTGACTGGTCTGTGTTGTTGGCTGATCTGTGTTGTTGATTGATCTGTGTTGTTGGCTGATCTGTGTTGTTGGCTGATCTGTGTTGTTGATTGATCTGTGTTGTTGATTGATCTGTGTTGTTGGCTGATCTGTGTTGTTGACTGACTGGTCTGTGTTGTTGACTGGTCTGTGTTGTTGGCTGATCTGTGTTGTTGATTGATCTGTGTTGTTGTTGTTGACTGATCTGTGTTGTTGACTGATCTGTGTTGTTGTTGTTGACTGATCTGTGTTGTTGGCTGATCTGTGTTGTTGACTGATCTGTGTTGTTGTTGTTGACTGATCTGTGTTGTTGGCTGATCTGTGTTGTTGACTGACTGGTCTGTGTTGTTGGCTGGTCTGTGTTGTTGTTGTTGACTGATCTGTGTTGTTGACTGGTCTGTGTTGTTGTTGTTGACTGGTCTGTGCTGTTGTTGTTGACTGGTCTGTGTTGTTGTTGTTGACTGGTCTGTGTTGTTGTTGTTGACTGGTCTGTGTTGTTGTTGTTGTTGTTGACTGGTCTGTGTTGTTGTTGACTGGTCTGTGTTGTTGTTGTTGACTGGTCTGTGTTGTTGTTGTTGTTGACTGGTCTGTGTTGTTGTTGTTGTTGACTGGTCTGTGTTGTTGTTGTTGTTGACTGGTCTGTGTTGTTGTTGTTGTTGTTGTTGACTGGTCTGTGTTGTTGTTGTTGTTGTTGACTGGTCTGTGTTGTTGTTGCACAGGTTGAAAACTCCTCCGCGGCCTCAGGGACAGAGAACAGAGCCGGAGAGTCGAGGCGGGGTGAGGACTCACTCCCTTTAGAAATATTAATCACAGTTTTTTTGACTCTTCTGTCTTTGACTTGTTTTTAAACCGTCTCGCTGCGTCTATGTTTCCGTTTGCTCACAGATGTTTCAGGGTTTCGGGGACACCGGCTTCCACATGTCTTTCGGCATCGGTGCTTTCCCCTTCGGCTTCTTCACCACAGTCTTCAACACCAACGAGCCCTTTCACAGAACAGGTAGGTGCACAACAAATATGTCAGCGAGTGAGTGCCCATATTTGACTTTAGCAGATCAGACTTTGAGGTCACAGAGAGGATTCATGTACGATGTAGTTCCAGCTGTTTCCTCACTTTGAATCATAACAAACTCTTGAGCCCGGCGTACGCTGCGCCATCTCAGGCCGATTTCTGACGTCAAATTTCAGGCCGCTCACACATCGTAACACTGAGGGACGAGCTGCTGCCGACCGCTCGGAAGATCGTCTGCCATGTTTGATATTTAGTCAATAGACAGAAACACAATCACACAGTGTGAGTCGAGCCAACAGCTGATCATTGATAGTGTTTAGAAAAATCCCTCTCACTCTTCTTTTAGTAGTAGTAATCATTTATTTCGGTCAAAAGAAAAAACAAAAACATTTTGACTGAAAAGGTGAAGCTTTATCTTATTACACCTCCCCTTGTTATAAATCTGATTATTTAAGACTAGTTTGGTTACAAAAAACAAAACATATCAGAACAAAATTTCTTCCAAAAAAGAAAACAGAAAACAGAAGTCACAACCGACCTTTTATATTTGTGAAACATCATTTTTATAAAACAAAACTTTAAGTCTGGAAAGTGAACTACACATTGTTAATTCCACAAGTTAACCCCTGTTACTGAAATACACGTGTTCTTTACGGACAGTTTAATGATGGTTCCTTCATTTAGAGCTCTCAACAAACCAGTGCTTAATCCAACCTTCACTGACCATCATGTAAATGTTATGTCTCTCTGGTTTACCATCTTTCCCTCAATTAAAAAGTCATTCTTTATGATCTCACACACGTTTCAAACACTGATGAGCTCATTCTGATAATTAGAGCAGAATAAACGTCCATGTGAACACAGCTGTTTCCTTCATGTGAGGTAATCATTGGACTACAGATGGAAACACATTTTCCCACAAGACACTGCTCTAATAACCTCTCTCTCCCATCCATCCCCTCCCCTCCCCCCGTCCCTCTAACAGACCAGTATGCAGGTGATCACCAAGGCAACGCTAACCTCAACAATGGCAATAACAACTGGCAAGACTCCCTCTTCCTGTTCGTCGCCATCTTCTTCTTCTTCTGGCTGCTGAGCGTGTGACAGAGACCGGACGGAAAACAAACAAAACACAAACTCTGACACACTTTAACCCGAACCACACACACACACACACACACACACACTCATTTTTACATTTCCTAGCAGGTACTTAATTGGGAGAGAAAGCAGGGGAAACAATATATATAGAAATGGGGGATTTTGGGGTAGTCTCCTCCTGACAAAAGGCAGATTCACTTTAGCCCCGCCCACCTGCTTTGACGTTTTGTTTATGCAAGTAACACACACTGGGAAGTAAAGTGGATGTGTCCCAAAATGAATGATGTAAGCACTCCATTTCTACATGCGTCTGTAGATATATGCACATGGAACAATACATAGTGTACAAGCTCACTGATTGGCTGAAGAGACAGTATTATGAGATGAAGGTGAGAGAAAAATCTTTTTGTTTTTTTAATCCATGCAGAAAAAAACAAGTGGAGGACATTTTGGGACAAATTTCTTATTGTTTTTTTTTATTCCTCCTGAATGAGTCTCTGAATTATTCTTTAATAAAAAAAAGAGGAATAAAGTTTAAAGGCTTTCTATGTGATTTTTCACACTTAAATGTAGAAATCAAGTATCTCCTCTGAAAATAACTCTGTGAGTCATGACTGTCTACAATGGGTGTAACACCCGAGTCCCACTGTCTGTGATGTTTTCAGAGTCCTATCTTCAGTTTGTTTACATCGACAGGACGGCAGGCTGACTCCTCCCCTCGTGTATAAAAGTTGTTTAATTGAGGGACTAGAGAAAAGAAGAATAACATACTGTACTCACTGCTTAACTGTGTTTCTAGATCACGCTCATTTCAGGTAAATTTACATGCAGTGTGAAGATACCAGCATAATAAAGATCGCTAGCATTAGCATGCTAACACAACAATGCAGCGCGAGTTGTTTTGGTTTCATGCTGGTGCTCAAGGGCGACATCTACTGGATGAAAAAAAATCACATATAAAGCCTTTAAAGTGGGTTAAAACAGAATTTAAAAAAAAGGAGTGTGGAGAAAACGTCCTTTAAAAAGGCCAAAGAGTAGCAAATCAGTCAGATACAAAGAGGGGGCAAAACGATGTCATTGAATGAAGTTGCCGTTTACAGTTTGGGATGAAAAAGTACTAATTTTGAAGCCTAACTCTTGACAGTGGTAATAGCACAGCTGGATGCGTTTTCTATACACTTGTCTTAACAAAAACTACCATTGCACTGTGAAGTCGTTTTGTAGACGGAGCTGTCCTGAAGGTGGAGCGTCGGCTGGGGGTCGAACCCTCTCTCTCTCTCTGTGTCTCGTTTTGTTGGCCAGTGTGGGAGATTTTCACGAGCAATTTGGGAGACTTAAAAAAACAAACAAACAAAAAAAACCATCCTGACACAGATCGAAAAAAAGATCTTGCTCGTAAAGTAGCTCAAAGAGAGAAGGGTCCTTCAGCCGAGAGGTCAAAAGGTCAGCACACAGAAAAGCTCAATGAACTCTGTCACAGTTGATGTAGGGTCTTTTTTCTTCTTCTGTCTGTTTGTGTCTGAGTGCGTGTGTATACATTATATATTTGTACATAATGAATATTGTAAATGCAGTTTTTAATGTGTTTTCTGAGTGGATGACCAACCATGTGAAACAAGAGAGGAACGAGATGTACAAAGTAAGTAGGCTTCGAAATGCTTTTTGTAAAGCAAGATCCGCTTCCTGGTTTTCATAAACTCCCTCCTTTAACCCATGTTAAGAACTCTTTCTGCCAACCCCCTCTCCTGTGAAGTTCAATAAATGTTATGAAAGAAAGTTGGTGCTTTCATGCGTCTGTGTCCACTATTTCCTGACATTTCACAAACCTTAAATTTATCTATAAAAATATAAACTGCCCGGGCGTGAAGAGCTGGATGATAAGTGTGCAGCCATTAAGAATCTCACAGAGGGTTAGAGCGCACATTAAATCCTGATTTAAAGGATCTGTTGCCTACTTGAATGTAAATTCCTCAAATGGCTCCAGGATCATGAACTCTGCATCGTGTTGCTCAGTGAGTGATGTGTGCACAAAAGCTTGAACATGTGAGCTTTCACATGACGCCTGACTGTGTGGAGTCTCACTGAGGAGAAAAGGTCCGGCTTGTAGAGATCTCTTTCAGTCGACTCAAAGGTTTGAATGTTTTAATGACTGTAAGGATTAGAAACCATGGAGACACACATTTAAACATATTTACATCTTTATTACATTATTTTCAACATAATCAAAATATCTGCCATAAAAATGTTTATATTTAAAACATTTTTTTTTTTTACAAATGTTAACTAAAAATATAGTTTAGAGATCTTTGTGCTCGATCTGAAGAAGAAAAAAAACCTGCTACATTCATTATTTCAGTTTTAAAATGTCTGGAGTGTTTCCTGTTGTAACATTGAGTCATATGACCTGGAAATAATTATGGAGAATTTAAAGCTAAATTAACCTGCCTTCACATGATCAGTCCTTTCATGTGAGCAGTCAATAATACTACTTCTGCACATACAAAAAATATTGTACAAAATCATTAAAAAAAAGTGCAAAATCAGCCGATTAGTTTCGGTAAACTGGGAGTAAACGATGCAGCGGTAAAGTGTAGAAAGATATTGTTGAAATCTGTGATTCACTGTTTGTGTGGATTCATGAACTCTGCAGGTCAAAAGGTCTTCATTCCTTTTTCCCTCTCTTCGGCGCTTTGTTGGATTTGCTGAGGATCTTCATGAGGTTTTTGGACATAAAGTACGGCTTCTGCAGAGACCCATCGTTACGCTCCAGATCTTCCACTGTGACGGAAAAATGAGAGTGAAATCAAACTGTGAGCTTGTTTCTGTGTCTGAGTTTTCAAATAATACTGATAAAAATCAGCCTTCATGTTTACATGCTTTTATAAAACACTCAGTGATCTGTAGACATTTACTCACAGAAGCAGAGGAAGAGCGTATCAACACACATGTTGTACACACTGAAGAATCCATGAGCTATGAGGTAGCTACCAAACACCACCGTCTGTCATCAAAAGAGAACCAGAATCAGAATCAGAATCAGAACCAGAATCAGAATCTGGTTTTATTGCCAACTACATTTACACATACAAGGAATTAGACTTGGTGTATTGGTGCTAAACAATTAACAAGGAAATAAAGCAGAACTAGAAACAACTTCAATAATACAGAATAAGAAGATATTACAATATATAAAATAGAATTTAAAAATGTAAAATATAAAATATAAAAAAACAAAAAGGACACAAGCTGTGCAGTGGACCAAAGAGCTTCAACCCAAATAAAAACTTAGTTTAATGTATCTGAGTGAATCTGTTTTCAGAGCGAGAGAGGGGCACGTTGTGACACTTACGATAATGGGCATCCAGTAGTAGTTGAGTGTTTCAGAGCGGAAGGTGTCGCCGGGCAGGAGTATTCGTCCAGAGAAGAAAAAGAAGGACAGCACAGCTGGAAACAGAAAGACATTAAAGAAACATTTCATCAAACAGGCTGCTTTCTAAAGACGTTCCTAGCTTGTGAATTAAAGGTCTTACGTCTCATGTGTTTCTTTAATTATTAACCTTTTTTTTTAACATTCTGTAAATCAGTGTTGTAGAACTCGAGTCCAGTACGCCACCTGTCTTATAATTAGAGAAGATCTATAATAATAATAATAATCAGGAATACTTTCTAAAATTATGATCTAAAAACATGTCCTACTGACAAAACTACACAAAAAGAAAACAACGTGAGGTCAGAAAATCAAGCTTTTCATCAGAGATAAAAGATCGTGTGTCACGTCTTGTTTTCTGTAACGACGGGCCGAAGGAGGGAGATCAGACTCGACAAAAAGAGGGTGCTCAGGTCTCAGTCTTACTGATGACATGCTTAGACTGAATGTCCTTTAGTGTTCCTCAGCACGAGTATCAAATGAGTAAAAAGAAACTGCTCATATAGGTCTTACTGTAAGACACTGAATATCATTATCTCAGATTGTAGATCAATATTGTGGCTCTGATATCAAAGGAAACAGCTTAAGTTATTAACTACTCATCTCTCACTTCCTGTCTCACTTTATCCGTCTTTCCCGGCTCAGGTTGTCAGATGATGACTGTTCAAACTAATGTTTCCTACTCTGTGTTTCAAAGCGCTTCCTTATTATCGATGGTCTAGAAATGCTTTTTATATAAAGTGACAAGAGATACCGTTTTTTTTTTCTTTTTTTCTTTTTTTTACAATTTGGTGCCACTATGTAAACGTTGATTGATCAATTGAAATTGACTTGAATTGATCAAATCCACCACATGTACTTCATTTAAGTCCTCAAGCTTGAACTCACCCACTCCTCCGACCACCAGGAGCTTCCCAAAGAACAGCAGCAGGTCCGTCACTTTATCGAGCACCACCACCCTACAGGGAGCACAGAATCATCAAACATGCTGATATTGTCATGTTTCAAACAGAGACTAAAACTCCTGAACAGGATTAATAGAAAAGAAGACTTCAGCACTAACCTTATTATATTCCTCATGAGCAGCTTGAAGGCATTTTTGGCAGAGACGCAGAAGTTTTTCCCATAAACAGCAATCTGTGAAGAAACAAAAAACTTGTTATTGACAGAAAAACAAACATTACTTTAGGAGTGATCTCTGAGCATCATACAAACTGTGCAGTGGTGGAAAAATGAGGTGTTGCTTATTAGATTTTTTTGTGAAGTTACCAGAAAATAGTTTTGTAATTCATAGGATTTCGAGACCACTTTTTGAACGTCTCTTTTGAAGGAATCAAAAAGCTTTTTTACTCGGTCTAGTCTCGGTTTCAGATGGGACTGACTCCAGATTTTAAATCAAGACCAGGCAAGACCACCACTGATTATTTGTCTGATTGATTATATGTATTTACTGCCATAAGAAGCATAACACCCCTTTCTAAAAGAAGAAATAACTTCAATTAATTTGTAGTTTTTTTTATCCCCTGGTTACGGCTGCGACTTTCCCAGTGTTACGCACTAAATGAGCGACACACGCCTGCGCACAAGATGAGGATTTTTCTGTGATATTCATGGTCTTGGTCTCGATCCCTAAATGTCTTGGTCTTGTCTCGATCTCGGAGCACTCTGGTCCCCGCTGTCCAAAACTGTCCAATACCTACGTTATATACATTGACTCACCATAATGTAAGCGTTCCTGTTGAGAAACTTGATGAACTTCTCCAGACACCAGAAGCAGCACTTCAGGCAGCACATCAGGAAACGAGCCACCGGATTCTGAGCCGCTATAGGGGGAAAAGAAACAACATCAAAGTGTTTACTGTGATCAGACAGAACACCACATGACATGCTGCCAATACCCACAATAATGAGGGAAGTTTTCATGTTTTCATTCTCTCTCCTTCTAATGTTTCCTGTCTCTCCTCAGCTGTCCTATCTAATAAAAGAAGAAAAAAATGCCCCTCAAAGAATAACTAAAAGAAGTTGTTAGAGTTGCTCCGTCTCTATGTAAAGATCTCTTATAGGAAATAAAGCTGCTGTGATCCTAACAAACTAAAACAAAGGGAGCAGATAAAACATGATCAGAGACCTTCAGGGTAGCTCAGAAAGTGAAATGGTTGTATGTCACTCTTACATCTTGTTTTGTGGTCGATGTACTCCAGAATGATCCTCACTATCTGCACCAGGGTGAGGATCAAAGAACCAAATGCCAAGGAGCCCACGTGGAACCTGAAATAACAAAATGTCTTACTTGATTTTTTATGGATATCAGAAAATCATGGAAAAGGAGAAAGTAAATTCCAAAGGTTTCATCATTTAATGTGTCAAATGAAAACTGTCACTCAGAGATAGAGTGACTCTCACAGCAACAATCTGTATTGTTGAGCCGCTGAGCTCTGCTTCCCTTAGTGGTTATGTGAAGGCTTAGGGCGCCCTCTAGGAGCTGGAGAGGGAACTACAGTTTGAACTGAGCTTTAATGTTAACCCTCATGCATCACTTTGGACATTTTTTGTCCATTTGGTCAAATGTTACCTCTTCTGTCTGCCAGAATCATGTAATCAAACTGGCATTTAAAGGGTTAAATTCCTGATAATTACTCAATATTTGATATTTTAGAGGCAGGGCTGAAAGTTGTTCAAGAGATTTATGCAAAAAGAAAAAAATATCAATCTGTTCTATTTTTAT